TACACATTTAATGTTTTAATTTTGTAAAAATACTATTATTTAAAGATAATGATATTTAGTTATTAAAAAAGTAATTAATTATAAACATAAAATATGGCAGTTATATACCCAAAATTTTATTGAATATTGTAATTTTATCAAAATATTAACCAAGAAATATTTTTAAACATCGATTTCAATAGTATAAAATAAAAGCCAAATAATAAACTTGAGTTTATATTTTAAAATTTCATGGTAATATAGATAAAAATGATTAATTAATAGACATTTGCTCTTTTTTGTAAAATCAATAACGTTCACACAATACATCATTACTCTCAAATAACAAGCGCGATATTGATTGTCGCTGAGATGAAAAATGATAAATTTCCACTATGATTGAAAGAAATAATATTGATATTACTTTTCTTAAATAAAATTTTAGTTAGGTCCAAACCTCTATTATAGTTACAAAAATATTTATGTTTTCTTTTAAAAATAAATTGCTTGATATCCGGCGTTTTAAAGGATAAGGTGTTGATTTCTTCTTTTTAAATAAAGAGAGTGATTGATAAACGAAATCTAACTTTTTAAGGACTTACTATAGGTTTTCTTAATAAATGATATTATTAATTTTTGTCCTGTATTAAATTTTCATATAACATGTAATTTATTTTTTACCTGATAGATTTATTATTAATCTTCGTATATTTGGTTAAACTTTCATTGATATACTCATTTAATTTTAAATTTTGAACCCCACTTTTACTATTATTTAGGATAGGTTTTATTAAAATATGATCATTTAAAATTACGTTATTCTGTATATAATCATAAAATTGATATCGATCCCTTGTTTAATGAATTATTTTATGCAAGATAATTCAATTAGTTATTTATTTTTCTCTCATCTCTCGTGTACATGCATTTTTTGATTATAATAAAAGAATAATAATTAAATTTGCTTTCTCCTCCGTTTAAAAATTAATGTTAATATTCGAAATGATAAATAAATGTATAGATAATAATAAGATGTTAAAATTATATTTTCTTCATTTTTTTTTATCCCTTATTATTTTAAGGTTAATCCTGAAAATGATAAAATTGATTATAAAGTCATATTTATTTTGGTTATTGGACTTTAGTCAGTAATAAAAATAAAAATAATAAGAAATTTAAAATTATTTTTTTTCAAACTAATTTCCATCCCGTTATTAAAAGATATTCAATTTAAATCTAAATGTAAAACGTTGAAGGTAGGAAATATTTATGACCTAGCTAGCTACTCTAAAAATATTGTCTTTACCCTTCGTTGGTGGACTAGGTAAAATAATTTCTTAAATGTGAAGGCCCCTTATTAAGTATTAATGCAAAAGTGAGGTGATAATAAAAATATATTATGGATTATATATAGCAGCTTTTAAAATAAATTCTGATTTAGGTTATTACATTTAATAATATGTCATAACCTTGACTTACGTATAGGGAACACACCCACTGCAAGAAAATCTTTACACATTATATGCTTCATACAAGACCTGGTCGTAAATCCATTATTTTATCTACTCGTTTATTATGGGATGAATAGCATAAAGGTTCTTCACGTTATCGGGTGAATTGGATCAAAAAATTATTATATATTACCCAAATATAATAAGAGAAAAAAAGTAAATGGTATAAATTAAACAAAAACGATTAAAATTAAATATAGATTCCCTACCGTTCATGAGATACAAAATGAAAATAAATGATTGTTCCGATTTTTGATGAACTTAACAAGGATGGTAAGTCAAAAAATATTGGGTTCGTATGAATAAAATTTTTACAAGTTCTGCATTATATTACTGCCTCTGAAAGGTATATATCCAAACTGATTCTCTCCTGACTCAAAAACCTAATTTCAAGCCTATTGGGGGCTTGCTATTATAAAGGAAACAAGGTTTATAATGTCTTGACTGATTTTTTTTTTTTTTTTTTTTTTTCTCTTTAGCTTTCACCTTTTCTGGTGGTAAGCTCCTTCAACATCTCTCTCCACTTTATGTTATTCGTACAATCTCTTTTATCTATTTTATACTTCTTTATATTGGCTCTAACTTTATGGCCCCATTGAAGTTTTGGCCTTCCTCTTTTACGTTTGCCCATCACTTCCAATCTTTCAACTTTATTTCCTATGTAGTTCATAGGCCTTCTCATTGTGTGCCCATACCACCTAAGTCTGTTTACCATTAACTTAGTCTTAATGGGCACTACCTTTAAACTATTTAGTATTCTTGTACTGCGCACCTTATCCTTTCTTGTTACCCCAGCAATCATCCTCAGCATTCTCATCTCCATAGTTTGTAGACTTCTCTCGTCTGATTCTTTGGTTGGCCATGTTTCCGAACTATATAGAATAGTTGGTTGTACTATGGAACTGTAAATTTTTCCCTTTAATTTGTGTGGGATTCTTTTGTCAAATAGCACTCCAGATAAAGATCTACACTTTAACCACCCTTGATTAATCTTATTCTTTATCTCTTTTTCTATTGTGCCGTTTGTTTGTATAGTGGAGCCCAAATATTTGCAGCTTTCAATTGCGGATATCTGCCAATCATTTATATCAATACTCTCCGTTTCATCTCCTCCTATCACCATATACTCCGTCTTTTCTCTATTTACTTTTAATCCGTGCGTTTCTAGGATATTTATCCAATTCACTAACCTTTCTTTCATTTCATCCTTGGATTCGGCAAGTATCACAATATCATCTGCAAATATCATATTCCACGGGACTGTTTGAGGTATAGACTGTGCTAATACATCTATTACTGTAATGAAGAGAAGTGGGCTGAGAGCCGACCCTTGATGAACTCCTTCGGCTATTGTGAAGCCTGCTGAAGTACCTGTTGTGCTACGGACCATTGTTGTATGTCCCATATACATATCCTCTATTATTCTTATATATTTTTCGGGAACTTTTTTGTGGCGTAAAGCCCACCAGATAAGTTTTCTTGGGATTCTATCGAAGGCCTTTTCTAGATCGAGAATCAGCCATAAATTGAGAAGAGAAAAAAAAGCAATATAGAAAGAAATACTTCTACAAAGCGTTTAAAATATTAAAAGTATTGATGACCTTTAAAATTGATCATGCGCTTAGACTCATATATACATTAATAATATTGTCATTAATCATAAGGAACAATTGGCTACTTGGATCCCGCATTATGCTAAATTTTTTAACTCTTACCATGATAACATCCTCTTCTTTATTCACTTATTGTCATGAGAACATTTCCTATTCTTTAGTCACTTCCACAGAGGTATTTTTACCTTCTACTTCTCACATTCTCCAATTAATATATTTTGATCATGATACAGGATGTTTTTGCCATAATTTAAAGATTAGTTATTTAATATTATTAAGAAATTAAAGAATCATAATGGCTACGGTCATGATGTTATCTTCGGTGAGAGTTCCTAAAGAGGGATTCGCTTTGTATGTTGACATCCTTCTACCTATTATGACTAAAAAATGAAATGAAGACACTTTCCCGCATGAATGGCTTACCTCCATCATGATAAATTTTCCAAAAAACAAAAATAAGAGTCTTAAAGACTGATGGGGAATCAGCTTTTAAATCTTTTATTGAGGACTCTATTGTCTATTTTAAGAGGAAAAATTATGCCTTGGAAGAAATCCTTGCTCTAAAAATATTATTGAAAATATTGCAGCTTTAGATTATAAACAGACCTTTCATTAAGTTAACTCTATGGCAATTTTTAAAAGAGACAGGGGTCCATGATAAATTGCTGTACCTCTACGCAGTTAAGTTAAAATAAGGCTGCATTTGATCCCCTCTCTGTTATTCAGCTTTATTATATATTATAAAGTAAAAAATGTCTTTTCAGATCTGCTAATATTATAATTTAAAGAAGAGATTTGCAAATCACGGCCCAGTGTGTACCCGGTGTAATGTTTTAAAAATACTCCATTTTTTTATATACTCCAATATTTAGTGATATTGACGTTTATGACTGACGTGCATATATTAAATATTACATTTTTAGTGATATTGACGTTTATGACTGACATATAAATATTAAATATAATAAATGTAGTCAATTGGCATTTATAACTGACGTATGAATAATAAATATTACCTATGATATTTAAGGCAATTAAAAATACTCCATTTTTTTATATACTCCTATATTTAGAGATATTGACGTTTATGACTGACGTGCATATATTAAATATTACATTTTTAGTGATATTGACGTTTATGACTGACATATAAATATTAAATATAATAAATTTAGTGAATTGGCATTTATAACTGACGTATGAATAATAAATATTATTTTTTCTATGTCCTATGATATTTAAGGCAATTTTGCCTTATTCTCTTTAGAAATTATTAGATTTAATATTAAGTGTTAAAAATTTATATATTTATTTAAGGTTTAATTCGAAAATATCAAAGATTAACATATAAATCTTGCACTATCTATTATCACGTTACTGCTCAAAGTTAGAAACAATTTTCAGAATAATTTATTAAAATCCTTTATTTAATTTGTAAATATAAAGATAAAAAAATCAATTAATAATATATGCGATATAAATAATATATGCTATATGCGATATAAATAATATATGCTATATGCGATATAAATATTAATTAAAATTAATTATGCGATCAATATGTTCGCTATGATTTATTAAATAAATATTTACATTAAATTTTTTAATATTACTTAATTTTTTAATGGGCATATAGCATGCCCATTTATAAATAGTATGTATTAAAATATTTGTCTGGAGCATAGTTGTCATTGCAACTATCTCCACCTCTGTACCATAAACGGCATTTTGAGCCATGCCCGTCCTCTCCGGCGGGGCACCTATTAAATTAAAAAATTGATTTTATCAAATCTTAAAAATGTTACCAAAAGGTCGAATGTCATCAGGCTCTAGCATTTTCTGGTGTCTTAACTCCATCATCTAAAAAAATATGTATATTAGATTTTTTTTATTATACCTTTTTTGTTTATACAATTATAATCCTCTCCAACTATCGAATTTAGTATATTCATAACTAGATATTTTCAAAAAGGATTTAATATTAAATATATGAAAATATTACCCTTCATATGATTTTCTTCCGCATTAAGCTTTAGATTTTTAATAGCTGGTTCTTGAAAATTTTCATCATCATCTAAAAAAAGGAATATTATTTAATAATAAAATCCATTGTATACCTTTTATGGTACTAGAATGAAACTTTTCACTTGACCTAGGAACTGTTTAAAGTTATTTAATAAATTTTTAAAAGTATTAACATTTTTTCTGTCCTGATTTAATTGTGTCATCTTGATAAATATATAATTAATTTTTTTTAAAACTATACCTTTTCTTGTAACATCTAAAAAATAATATTGAAAAATAAAAAATAACAAAGAAAATATTTAATGAGAATTTGTGTTGTGATGATTTAATGACACATATTGACGATTAAATTTAAACCCATTCATGTATAATTATATTGCTAGCAGAAATAATTAAAATAACACATTTGTATTTATGTACATTATGTATAGATATTGATAATTAATATTAAGATGGGTATTTGCTGTTTTGATAATTGAGTTTGAAATGTTTAACCATGAGTCATTATTGTTGATTTGATTCAAATTATGTAGAAAATTATTTGCTGGGGTTGGTAAATTAAGATTAGAGATATTATATTTTTTAAGGATTATAGGAGTATATTTGATTGAGGGTTTGAAGTATGTGTGATATTTATTGTTTCTTTGTTTATAAAAAGTTGATTATTTAAAGTAGCAAAACCAATAAGAGAATTAGTGATTTCATTACATAATTTCATGTTAAGGTCTCCTCCAATGATGATAAAGTGATTTTTATTGATATCTATAAAATATAAAAGATTAAATAGGCCTGTTTTCCATTCAAATAAAGATATGGCATTCCATTATTTCTCGGAGATGGCATTTTAAAGGCAAATATTTTAAATGTATCTTGAAGAAAATATATAAAACAATTTAACATCAGCCATTTTCCCGCAGACGATTTTTTCATCTGGTACCAAGCATCATGCACATATTTTTAACACAAAAATATGATTCCGCCTTTACAAGCCATAAAGCGACAATTTGAGATTGTCCATGACTATCTATTACAAGTAGAATAAACAGTGGCATACCTAGATTGTTTAATTTGTAGGTAGCATCAATGAATATCACCTCAGGATAATATTTAAGATAATGGAGCATGCTAGCATCTTGAAAGTAAATGCCCAACAATTCACTATCATTTTCTAGGATTTCCACCACAGCTCCATTATCTTCCCTGAGTTGATTTATTACATCAAGTAATACATTATCAGATGGCTTGTTTAATTTGGCTGAAATATTATGAATATCTCTCAGAGTCATCATCTGACCTGAATTAAGAACATATTCTTGTATTTTCACCTTATTAGCTTTAAAAGTGATAGCTTGCTCCACAATTTGTTTTTTTATTGGAGAAAGCCTTCTTTGTTTAGAGAGCATCTCATATAGTTTTTTATCTTGATTATATAAATCATGTTAGTTAAAAATCAAATAAATATGTCTAACCTAGATCATGGTTTTTATGATCTTTTACAAATGTGACAATATCTAAAGAATACACATTTAGTTTATCACACTGAAGAAAGACTGTGAACATAAAAATACATTCCTTGCGAAGACTAGATGAGGATCTTATACCTCTAGACTTATTTTTTTTTCAGTCCATATTTACATATATAATAAACTTGATTATATTTATATTGAGCTATAAATGCTTTGCTATAAGGTTCCTTTAATAAGTCTGATTTATTAATAACTATGTTAAAAAAAATTCTTTTTCATATATAGATATGGCATCGTTTAATTCATGTATAGAATTAAATTTAGTATTAAGATATAATGACATAATTAAAATAAATATATAAAACTATAGTGTAAAATATATTAATATAAACCTGTTTTTAAATCTTTAGCTTCTTGAATCAATGATTAGCTTCTTGAATCAATAATAAATCTTTAGCTTCTTTTATTTTCTAAAATAAAATAAAATTTATAATGTAAAATATATTAATATGAACCTGTTTTTAAATCTTTAGCTTCTTGAATCAATGATTAGCTTCTTGAATCAATGATAAATCTTTTCTTTTATTTTCTAAAATAAAATAAAATTTATAATGTAAAAAATATTAATATGAACCTGTATTTTTAAATCTTTAGCTTCTTAAATCAATAATAAATCTTTAGCTTCTTGAATCAATGATAAATTTGTAGCTTCTTTTATTTTCTATAATAAAATAAAATTTATAATGTAAAATATATGAATATGAACCTGTATTTATTTTTTAAAATGGAGTTTAAAAAAGGCGCCAACGGGGCAAATATCCTTTACGACCTAAAAAATTTGACTGGAAATTCAAAAAAATCGCCTCAGCATCATCAGCTCCAGAATAATGTTTCTTGATTGACATGAGCACTTTTTCAAAAAAATATCATTATAAAAATTACATTGATCTAAATATACTCTGATATGTAAATACATTATAATCGAACAATATGATCTGAAAATACTCCACAAATAAGCTTAAAGGAGTATATAAAAAAATGGAGTATTTTTAAAACGTTACACCGGCCCAAAAGCTATTTCGGTTTAAACTGGGTATGGCTTAATATTTAAGAAAAAAAATGCAGGGCCAGGCCGGGCTTAAATTCTTAAATATAATATCATTATTGACAAATAAAAGATATATTTTAAATTTCTTTCTAAAAAACAAGGTGCTAGTATTTCATATTTGTAAAATACGTTTTTTACAATAAAAAAATTATAAAATTTTCTATATCTAAATATATACAAACTGGCCGGGTCGGGTGGACAAATAATTTTTATTTCACTAGCTCTTCGGGTCATAAAATTGATCGAACCGAACTGGACATATTTTTAAAGAGAAATTTCGTACTGTGCTTAAAAAATTAGCCCGATGCAGATCACTAATTTAAATATTCTCGCTTTCGCTGATGATCTATGTATAAGAATGCATACCCTACAATATATAGTGAACATAATTGTCGTTGAGGTGGAGAAATTTGGTCTGATTTTTAATACGAACAAAACTAATGTGAACTGGAAAAAAACCAGCATAATTATACAGACGACTTCTGTTTAAATTACATAGGCTCAATTTTGTCAGGTCGTATACTAAAGTGCTAGATAAGATGAAGATAAGAAATCTTTACTGTATGCTTTTATGTTTAATTTATTTAATATTCTATCAGACCAATAAATTCTTTTATAATAAATAATTTATGTATCATATCAGATAATAACTATGCTTGGTATTATATAATTCTTGCCTAGTATTACATTTGATATCAGGTCAATTCGGCGCGGAAAATTTGGCTCACGACAATGGCGCACGACAATTCGGCGCATATAATTCGGCGCAGCGACAATTTAGAGCGACGTCAATTTGGCGCTACGACAATTCGGTGCGGCGACAATTCAGCGCAGCGTCAATTCGCGCATATCTATTACAGTTGCAATTTATCATATATTACTTAGTATTAAAAAATAAGGATGATTAAATAGAAATGATTTTGAATGTTGGTCCTATTAATTATTTTTTCATATTTATTTTTACAAAAATCTCAATTTTATTTACTAAATGTGTAATCAAAAAAAATTAATAAAAATATTTATACCTATTTCTTTGGTTGACCAATTTATCACATAATGTATGTTGAATAGTAGCCAATGTTATGTAAGCCTAGATTTTGAGCGTAGAATAAAGAAAGAGAAAGAAAGGTTTGGACCTCTATCTCGAATCTTAAATATTATTTTGGCTAAAATTTAAATCGACCGTTTTTAAAAATAGACGCAGCGATGATCCAAAAAAAATCAAATTTAGATTGACTCATTTTTTAGATTTATTAAAAATCCTTAAATTCTATTAATCCTTTTTAAAAAAATATTTTACTTAGGCATTTTTCTATTATATAAATCAAAAATGAATTAACGCACAATTTTTTTTATTTATTTATAAAATGAATGTAGAATATTTAAATATACTATACAAAACATGCTATTAAAAAAAACATTATATTTGTAAATTAAAATTATATGCGATCCCCCTTAAATAACATTAATCGGGCCCTTTATTATATAAGCATTCGGTTTTTAATAACCAGTACCATCTAACACATTATGATTATCTATATTACTTCTTCATTTAATGTATGGCACCGCCCTTTGTAATGGGTAGGTCTACCTTCCAATAATTTATAAGACTCAACACATTTCCAAATTGTTTTTTGATTTAAAGTTCTCTCTTTCCTGAATATGTATTGATCATGAACAAGTTTTTTTGATCCATATTCACTTATAACATATTTTAGCATTCTTAAAAATAAATGTATAAAAATGATATACAGAAATAATATTAATATTTACCTTTATCTGGTATAATAATTAAATTATGGAAAGAAATTATAAAGAATAATTTATGGAAGGAATAGAAAAAAATAAAGTTTTTTACAAACTAGAAAGGACAAAATTTCATAATAAAATATAATTCAATTTATTAATTTTTTGTCAATAGTTAGGCGAAAAAAATTTAAAAAAAAGAGATTTGGATTATGTTTTTTAGAATGTAAACTTTTATTTTTATTGTAGAGAAAAATAATGGAATTCTTTAAAATTGTTTAACAAAAAGAGAAAATCCCAAAATAAAATATAATTATATTTATTAATTTTTTGTCAATAGTTAGGCGTAAAAAATAAAAAAAAAGAAGATTTGGATTTTATGTTTTTTAGAATGGTAAATTGGTCCATTAGGTATAAATATTAGTTAATTTTTTTCGATATTACACCTTTAGTAAATAAAATTGAGATTTTTGTAAAATAAATATGAAGAAATAATTAAGAATACTAACATTCAAAATGACTTTTTAATTCATCCTTCTATTTTTATACTAAAAATTTATAATAAATCGCAACTGTAATAGATACGCGCCGAATTGAGGCTACGCCAAATTGACGCCGCACAGAATTAACGATGCGGCGAATTGTCGTGCGCCAAATTTTCTACGCCGAATTGACGTGAAACCATTGCATTTAATCAAGTCTTTATAATCTTTAATTTAATTTATCCCTATGTTTATATTAGAGAATATATATTTAACTTTAAAAGTTATTCATATTTTCATAATTAAGAAATTTTTTAGATTATTAATATTATATCACAGAATAATACATTATTATTAATTATATATTTATAATAAAATTATATATCATTTTTTAAAAAATATATATTGAAAATTAACTTTTAATTCAATATTCCTTCTATATCCTCTATAATTTAAGTCATATGTTTTTATTAACAGTGATTGTTCAAAGGAAGTTGAGCTAGGTCATTTTCAATAATTATAAACTCATGTTATATATAATCTTAACTCATTTATACCTATATTCGTTTTATTCTTAATATTAATATATTATTTATAATTAAAGCAAATAATATTTATATTAATTAAATAAATTATTTATTTATTTTTTAATAAATTAATTTTCTTTATTTAGAATCAACTAATCACATTAATTGAACTAATTTGAATTATAAATAAAAT